AGAAAAGCAATGCTTGGGCAACTCCAAGCATGGGGAAGCTCCATCCCTCAAGCCTCGGGTGTCATAGAAACGCACCTGCTCACGCATATTCCGGTCTGTTTCAATGGAACCCACATAAATGTCTTCCTGGGTTTCAATCATTTCTGAACCTGCAGAGAGTCAATCAGATAAAATATAAGAATCTCTACCAAAAAAACCCTGAATCTTGCTCCTAGAAAAACCTAGTTATCTAGAATAATTTCTGCTAACTGCACTTGCTAAATGTTTAATTATTGTTCTTAAGTTACTGTAAGTTCAGCAAGAACATGGGGGCGGGGGGAAAGTATGAATAACTGGGAGGTACCAGATGAAAAGGAAGTCTGACAGGGGCACAATGTGATGGGCAACAGTGTAAGAGTGATTCAACCATGAGTTAGCATGACCACATTAGTTTATCACCATGGACAAACCCAGGGCATACAATTAATTTCTAGTTCAAGGTTAATTCACAGGAACAACAAGTAAATACTCTGTATATCTCCGATTGTATGTGCATGTCAACAAACAGAAGCAATTGTAAAATGATATTTTCATGCTTTGCCTCAACACCTTTTCCTTAAAGTGTCATTATTTTACCACATCTGTACCCATATGAATGAAAAATAAATTGGTTGAATTTGTATATTACTTTGAGCCATGGTGTACATTGAACATGCTTTATTATGCAAACTTACATGTTAATCATAATTCAACAGGCAACAGGTTTAACTCAAATAGGTAGTCCTCAACTTACAATAGTTCATTTAGTGACCATTCGAAATTACAAGTGCACAGAAAAAAGTGACTTATGACTGGTTTTCATTTACGACCATGGTCATGTGATCAAAATTCATATACTTGGCAACCAACTCATGATGGTTGTACTGTCCCAGAGTTATGTGATCACATTTTGCAATGCAACCATTCTGACAAATCAATGGAGAAGCCAGATTCACTTAACAACCGGGTTTCTAACTTAACAACTGTAAAGATGCACATAACAACTGCAGTAAGAAAAGATGTAAACTGGGGCAAAATTCATTTAACAATTAGCAGCAGAAATTTTGGGCTCAATTGTGATTGTGGCAGTCAAGGACTTCCAGTACATCCTAATAACAAAATAACGCTATTTAATGTTCACATGTTGTACTAAGCCTTATTATGGTGTATTTCCTTTATGTATTTCCTTATTATGATGTATTTCCTGTATGCCCAAATCCATCGATCTCCTTTGTTAGTCCCGGTTTAGCAGCCAATCAAACAGAAAAGCCTAAAATAGCAAAGAAATGAAGACTTCCTAGTTAACGCCAACACTCACCAACAATATGATTCCCATACAGAAGCTGTTCCAGGATCGAAGTCTTCCCAACTGATGCTTGCCCACATACTACCACTTTGCAACTCTTCCCCATTATCTGGAAGATACAGAGAAAAAAAACCAAGAAGGATATACTGAAGATGAGTGGTGAAAACATGCCTAAACATATGCAAATACCAGTATTGCTCAAGGCTGGCTTTGGCTATCCTACAAAATATAATAGCCAGACTATTTTAATCTGAGGTGATGGTACACTGATAAAAGACATGAGCAGAACTTCATAGGGCCTTAAAGTGGCAAATGCCTGGGCAGAGTCAAGAAGATGAAGAACAATTAATACATCTGTTATTTGTAAGAAATAGAAAGCGTTTCTTAAGGCCTGATAATTTGATGTTTACAAATAGAATTTTTCCCGTCATGATTGGCCTTGTGCTATTTATATATATATTGACCTCAAGGTTCCTATTTGACAAAATAAGAACATAAATGAATTTGCTCAGATCTCGGTGTAATTCTTTTCTCCACAGTGATTCTCTGCATAAGACTTTCTGATCTGTAGTAACTCATGTGTTTAAATATACTCATTTGCCATATGGTCTGCAGTAATAATTTGCTTTAGATTTAGATTTAGACTTTTATTTGGTAAATTTTGAATTCCAGTGAAATCAAATCAATTTTTATTCACTCATAGACCAGCAAATAAACTCGAGTCACAATTAAGATAAAGAAAAAATATTATTGTAAAAATATGTAAAAAGGATTAGAGTTGATATGGTGTATAGTGCAGACTGTAGAATAAGAACTTGGCTTGGGTTTCCAGTCAAAACAAAGTAAAGCCCATACATTCTAGGAGACAGAATCAAGGCAATCTGTTTCTTACACTTCATCTCTAATTTTACTCTTTAGTCTTTTACTTTTAGCCTCTTTACATGTTGTTTTTCTACCCTGCCTGTTTGGTGTCTCTGAATTCCAAAGAGTTCTTGAATCAAACAGGGTTTGCTGATGCTTTTAAAGTTTCAGAGAGAACCCTTCTCTCCTTTCAGTTTTTTCCTGGCATAATCATGATTATCTTGGAAGAGACACTAACATCTTTCTCTCATAATCATACCCACATTAATGAGGAGAGAATAGAAAAGCAGCTGAGACTTACTAGCAGTAGCATTGAGCAATTTTAGGGATGGGTAGGATGGACATTTCCTTTTGTTTCCTCGTGTTTGTCATTTTAGGCCAAAAGCAAGTCCATTCACTTTTCCTATGTAATTTTTAAGCCATTCATATAACGAGGCACATCTAAAAAGTGGCTGCTTTTTACAGTTAGCTGTGTTAGTTTTAGAAAAGCTACTTGTCTGAAAGGTTAGCCAAAGAAAAGAATAAATGAAGAATAAAAATAACATGTAAGCAGTTTCCAATATACATTTCATCTACAGCTAACATTAAAATTGTAAACCAAAAAAAGTTTAAAAACTAAATGAAAAATGAAGGTTTCAGGATCCAATCTGGGTTGGTCACCGGTGCCAGACAGACTCAGATTGGATCTTGCAACATTATCCTGGGATATGTATATTCGCCTTCATTCATAAGGGGTTTCCTCTGAAAATGCAGTGTCCTATCTAATCATCAATCTGAATATGTATCCCGAATTATCTGCCTACTCTGAATATTTTTATGAGGGGTCCTTGATACTCTCTGAGCTTGGTTGCTTTCTTGTAGAAGTTTCATTACCCAAATTAGATAACATCATCATTTTCATGCTAGCCAGAAAATAAGGTCAGAGAGCATCAAGGACCCCTCATTTCAGCCCTGAGCTACAAATATTATCTTTTATTGGAATATTTTATGTCTCTGACAACCAAAATTATACAATGGAACAGGAAAGCCACAGTATCTCCAAGTAATATTCTTGGGGGTTTTTTTGGGGGGTGGGGGGGTGGGGGAGAGTGAAAGCTGTGTTTACCAGTTGGTATTGCTTCTTTGCCATATTTTAGTTATTATATTGTTATGCTGCCCATCTCCCCTGTATGGTAATTCTTATTTTCTACATAATTATGTACATGAATGTATTATATAACTAAAATTACATGTTTATAAATACAAAAATAATTTTTAGTCTCTTCATATTTTCTACACATTAACCAGGATTTATCCCCACTACAAACATAGAGGAATAAATTAGGCAGCATCACAAATTTCCAGTGTTGAAAAGAATTATTCCTTTAATCTTGTGTAGCTGCTCAGAGAAATACCATACTGCAATGGCAAAAGGCAAAATTGCTGTTTCTTACATTTCATGAACTTTGACTCTTTTATTTGCGCATTAATGATCTGTCAAACAACGCCTGCCTGACATCTGATAAAAGCCAAGTTGTCAAAAGCCAATGTCATCAATTATCAATTAATCTTCAAGGCACTGCTAGCTTCTGGTGGGTTAGATAATACTCTAATTAAACAGCTGGTTACTACTCCTTAGAGAGGGAATGGGGCTCATTTGCAAATCTATCAAAGATGAAATTAATCGCCGATACAATTAGCAAACCCACACAATCACTATTGCACATCTAAAAGTCTGCAATTTTTCTAAAAACTCGATTTAAAAAAACAAAAACAAAGAACAGCCAATCCAAGACAACTTACCTTCCCTACCTTGATGTTTCCCTGCCGTCTCCAGCAAGGAAAGGAACTAGGGACCAACAACTCTGCATGACTGAGAGAAAAGACATATGTGGGACCTGCAGCCCACAGCTCCATCTAGAGCACTGTCTACAGTGTGATTTACTCTCTCTTGCGATCCAGTTAAGATATTTAGGAAAAGGTAACAGTACCGTGTTGCAGTGAAACACAGGAGAATGGAAATAGAAAACTGAGCTCAGCAATCTTGCCTATAATCCAACCGGGGTTATTTTTCATTTTAAATTTGATGAAAATTATACAATCAAGCAGAGAGGACCATTGATCTTTAAACAAAACTGAGGAAATGGTGAATTGAAAGTAATAAAGCACTATCCCTTTTCCCTCCCTATCTCTGTTCATATATTTACACTTAAAAGCAAATTGTGTTTGGCAAGAATGCTGGTTGCAGAAAAATGAGAAATTAAAATATCCTTACAGCAGAAATGAAATGAGAATAAATACATGTGGGGTATTTTGAGTGTACATATGATGCCGAAAAATGTTAAGGATTAGATAGATACCTGATTGATGCAATGACTGTGTTCACGAGGCCTTCTTGACTAATTGATCTATGGTTTATGGAATTAACTCAAATTTTCTGGGTTTCACATAATATGAACAATATATCTAATACACAAGTTGGCTTTACAGAACACAATAGGTTGAAACATAATTGATTAGTTTTTCTTATCGTGCTCATGCAATCAGAAGAATGAATTCTCTGATATATAAAAAATATATCAATGTATGAAATTTTTATCTATTGCTAGATACCTAACAAAAGATTCCTTCTCCAGTCATGTTAGCTCAGGAAATCTGGAAGTTGGAAGTCCACAAGTCTTAAACATGCTAAGTTTGAAGACCCTTATATGCTGTATTGCCTTTAAAAAAAACTCTTAAAGAATTCTTTCAAACCGCATTTTCCATTTTTATAGCAGAAGAAACCTGCCTATCTATAAAGAGAGTCAAATATAAAAATATAACCAAATATAAAAAAATTCCGAAACACTGAAGCCCTGTGCTATCAAAAAGAGATCTGAAAATAGATCAGTCCCGACTTCCAGTTTTTTTTCTGTATATTTTTGCCTGAAGATAAATGATTATTTCCAATTCCTGTTTGTCCAATTCCGAAGCAAAAATAAAATCCACCCCCCTTGGAGGACTCTACCGAGTCCTCTCTTCACTCGCCTCCCAACCGGAAGTGGCCTATGTAACTCTGACTCTTTTGTCGCCGGATATAGAAGGAGGAACTTCCGCCTCGTTCCTTTTTACTTTCTTTCGTTCTCTCTCCCCGGCTCGCCGGCCGTTGATTGCAGCAACAAGGAATCAAGATGGCGACGGCGGGCGGAGATTGCGACGTGATTATGGCGCCCGCGGCACCCCCAGCGGTAGCTTCACATTCCGCGATGCCGCTGATGTTGAGCGAGGAGGACGAGGGGACGCGCAGGTAAGACCTCCGCCACCGCTTCCATCCCTGGAAAGGAGTTTTTTGCCCCCGCGGAGGGGAGGGGCCGCTTCGAAGCCGGGGGGGAGGCGGGAGGACAGGAGGCGGAGCCTGCTTCAGTGCCGTGGGGGTGGGGGAGAAATAGGGCTTTTAGGAAAGTAGTTTGGAAGGCGATTTGTTATCGTTGTCATTTGTCAGCTCTTCCTCCAAAGGATCACGGAAGAGAAAATTCAAGATTAAGCCAGTTAATGACGGGCAGTTAGGAGAAGCTCTCTCACTGAGGGACAATGTATGTCTAAAATCCAGCATGTTGAGGAATAAATCATGCAGTTCCTGCTGTAACTTATGGGCTGTCTCTTAAACACGAATTGCTGGATGAAAAAGACCTACGGTCAGATCAATATTTACATTTAACTGTGACTTTCCCAGGTTCAAGTATAACAGGATTCAAGCTGGAGATTAGCCATCCTACTGCATATCTCTCTGTGTGTGTAGTTGCAGGCTTACTGCTGAATTCCATTATTCCTGTAATTCAGTTCCAATATCCAGCAATTCAGTTATATTATAGCGCTCCAAGTAGTTTCCCACAGGGGTTTATTACAAGAACCCTACACACACACATTCTGAAGAGGATCCAGAAATACATATGTTTGGGTAATGTTTTTACTCTATTTTATGAACAAATTAGTTTGACCATTATTGTACAGTTGGTCTCTTTGTTTCAAATATTGTGCACAATACATGACTTGGGATATCATTTGGTATATAAACAGTGATTTTTCTTTTATCTCAGCATTTCAAGAATATCCCACTAAATAAACATGTTGATTATGGTAGCAGTTGTTCTTGCCATGGGAAGCTTTTAAGTAGAGAAATGCCACAGTAGTCAATGAAACATTTAATAATCTGTACATTTTGTGTTAAATCTTATCTGGGAAAAACATCTTGAATTTTGTTTTGGGTTCTCATGAGGCAGTGATTTTTCTCATCTTGATTCATAACATTCATAATCACTGCATAATAGTGTAGGCACTTGCCTGTGAAAATGAATGCAGTCTTTAAAAAATAATTCTGGGTTGGGTCTCACTTGGTTTATAGCAAGTGACTCTTGTGAGAAAAATCATAGATAATAGAGGAATCTCTAGTAAAACGTAGTAGCTAATCTGGAAGTTTGTAGTGTCAGGCTTTGGCTGGTTAGGCAAACATAAAGAAAAGGTGAAGAAAAATGAATCTGTTGGCTATCATTAATTACAAAATTAGATGTATGATTTGAAAATAATTCCTGTTTCTCCTGTTATTCAAAGGATCACACCTTATTTCAGATTTCTCTTCTGCCTTACAGCTAAAGGTACCTAATAGTAAATGCTTATTATACTTATATATAGAAACTGTGACATATATAGTTGGGTTGTAACACATGTACTCCTGGGACATTGGATGATAGCCAACACTTGTAATTGGCAGTTTGCTAGGGTGCATAGTGTGGTTTATCCTCAGGGGAACCTTCTGAGTTGGATAAGTGAGCTATAATTTATATTAGCAATCTTGGGTAGGGTTTAAATATGAGTCTTCCAGCTAAATATTCCATAATGGAATTCAAATTCCCTAGTGACAGTTGACCACCAATTAAAGGTATTGACTTTTTTCCTCCTTTTAAGATTGTAAGGTGATATACAATTACCAGCCTTTCTTCAAATAGTGAAACTGAATAACAGTTTGTGGGGTTAGGCAGGGAGTGAAGGAGAATTAAAACAACTTCCTAACAGAAGCATAGTTTAAGATTAGTAAACTATTAATTGCAGTTGAATGTGATTCAGTGCATCATGATTAAATTATAGTTTAATATGATATATGAATTCAGGCGTGTTATTGTACCAATGTTAGATAATGGTTGAGGTTGTAAAGTACAGTTCTATCTGTCAATAATGGGGGTAGAAAGGAGATACATAACTACATACACAGGAGAAAAAGAAACCATATTAAATCTTGCATATCAGGCATCCATAATGACTAACCATTGTTTCCTGAGCATGTTTCAGAATCCTTTGCAATATTTATGGATTCCTTATCAACTGCGTGGGAAGGATTTTCCCCAAATTTTAAAATCTCTCCAGTACAACTTCCATATCTTGAATCCTGGTTTCTGAAAAGATTTCTATCTTAGGACAGTCTCTAGAAGGGTTCTACAACATTTTGTAATTATGTTTTTGAGAGCATGGAGACAAAAATGTCTATTTGCTAGCCATATTGGACAAGAGTGAAATTTCTTCAAAACTGCTGTGATTAGGGTTAGGATAGAATTTTTCCTGCTGTGTGATCCTTGGCAAACAATTGTGTTAAGGTATTACAGATAGATACTGCATTTCTATTTGGAGTAATGGCTAATCCTATAACCTAAAATGAGAGTTTATTTTAGCCTAAATGTACACTGTGTGATAGAGTCACGGTAAATTCATTAATTGTGATGGTTATAAAAATCTAAGCACCATATTTTCCAGAAGATAAGTCCTACTTGAAAAATAAGCCTAGTGAAGGGGTGGAGGTGGCCAGAACAGGAGGCAGTGAGGGAACATTGGCCGATGGTGTCCGTTAGCAGCTGCAGCCCATGCAGCGCAGATGAGTTGATTTCCTGTCCAAGCAGCAGATGGAAGCAGAGGTGCAGGGGGTGGGGGTGGCAATCCGGATGTTAAAAGCTTTGAATAATAAAATTGAGAAATATACTTTTATATAGTCACATGATTGGTCTGGAGTTATTGTTTCTGGTGGCCTATTCATATGATACATTCGGCTGGTTTAAATTATGACACTAGGAAAGTTTGGTAAATGGAGCAAAAAATAAAACTGTTTCTGTTCCCTGGTCAGCTTTGCTGTTTTGCTCAACAAATTGGCGTTTGATTACTTTTTTTTCCTAATTGTAATGGAAATTATATTGTAGAGAGCCCCAAGGGAAAATAGGGGTTCTCTAGGCATTCTCTGTCCTTTGGTTCTCTCTTTTTACCCCTCATCCTACAACTACAAGGGAAAATAAAAAGGGCAAAAACCAGGTTGGTGTAGGTATGATAGTTATCATAATTTTTATTCATAAAAATCTCACTCTTGCTAAAACAAAGTGGGAAATTTACAAAAAAGAGCACTGACTCGGTTATTTCATCTGGTGCAGAGGTTTTCCTTCATAGCTGGGGAATAGAATTGTTTTCTAGCATTTTTTGCTGTGGTCATTAAGTGAATATACAGGTAGTCCTCAACTTACAATGTTCATTTAGTGACTGTTCAAAGTTACAATGGCACTGGAAAAAGTGACTTATGACCATTTTTTAGTTACGATCTTTGCAGCATCCCCATGATCATGTGATCAAAATTCAGACACTTGGCAACTGGTTCATACTTTTGACAGTTGCAGTGTCTCGGGGTCATATGATCATTTTTTACAATCTTCTGACAAGCAAAGTCAATAGGGAAGCCAGATTCACTTAACAACTATATTATTAATTTAACAACTGCACTGATTCACTTAAGAACTGTGGCAAGAATGTTTATAAAATGGGGAAAAATTCACTTAACAAATGTCTCATTTAACGGACTTCCGGTTGACATCGCGGCGCTATTGGATGTGAGGAGCGGGTCTCCGCACTCCCATACTGAGTTCTCACTGTTGGAGGGCTCCGAAATAAGCTAAAGCTACCTATAGAGGTGGTGAAGAAAAGAGGGGTGCCCTGCAGGTCGCAGTGAGCAGCAACTCTCCTGCTGGACTCAGGGCTTCTTCCCTCTCGTCCACCACGAAGATGGGACAGCTGAGGCAACAAAGAAATGTGCAGGAGCTGTGTAGATGAACAGTGATTGGAGCTGGGTGAGAATATTCTTTTTTATTTAGACCCTAATTTAATTTTAAAGAAAAAAAGAAAGAAGAAAATCCAGGAAAAGAGATTCTTAGAACTATTTCTCAAAGCAGTGAACAACCATAGAGAGAAAAATCCTAGACCTGAAAGAAAGGAACTAAGGGGAGAAAAGCTAAATACTTTTTAAAACATAGAAAATTGAATTTTTAAATTGGGAAGGCGTTGTTTTGAAAAGGCATTATAAAATGCTGGAACTATCTACTTGAATCTACTTGAATAGCCGACTTTGTTTCATAAATTGAACTAAATTTGGATTAATCAAATCTATAGTCTTGAAACTACACTGAAATCTAAGCTGAGGGCGCCATCTACCAGATCCCTACAAGCTTACAAAAATTTCTGATAAAAGAAATAAACAATTCATCTGGAGGACTGTGATGATACTGTTCTATAATTATCTACTTTTGTGATTACTGGAGACTATTGTGAGAATAAGGAAGACTCTATTGTGAGAATAAGGAAGTAATGTAAAGTGATTTTTGATTTGCAGAAGCTGCCTGGACTATTTAAATGGAACTGATTAATAAACGTGAGATGTAAAGAACTATGATTATTGAACTTTCTGAGGAGCAACATTGGACTGGAATATATTGTTTTTGGACTTGAGTAAGAGCGGGACTTATTGAATTAAAACAGGATGGTCCATCAGGGGAAAATGAGTGAGATTTGAGAAATGGTGTTTATGTTTCAAAGCATTAGGGGTGCTATGACAAGGAATCACAGAGATATTTTTTTAAAAAAACAATGCAAGGCATAAATGGGAAAATAGAAAATATGCTACAACTGATATTGAATGAAGATCAAAGAGTCCAGGAAAGAGAGGAAATAGCAGAAAGAATGGAAAAAAAGATAGAACAGACAAACTACCAAACAAAGCAAGAAGATGAGAATGAGAAGAAATAAAGACAATAATGACTGATGAAATAAACCAAGGGAAAAGTACTTTAAGAAATTTTAAAATGGAATCGGATAATCTGGAAGTTATTTTTGAAAGAGAGATAGGGGTTTGGGTGGATACTCTGGAGACCTGGCAGCTTAGGAAGATAGAGATGGGAGAAATATTCAGTCTGAATGGTGAAGACACAGATGCTGATAGAGACAAAGATC